CGCGACCTCCCCACCCTGAAGGCGGCCGTGATCGTGGCGTGCGCCTTCACCGCCTTCCTCATCGCCTGCCTGCTGCTGCGCGTCTTCAGGTGGGTCCCGTCGCCCCTCTCCTTCCCCCGCGGGTCCACCTGCACCGCCTACCGGCCGTGACCGTGACCGCGTCCGCGCCACCTGCGCGCACAGATGCTTTGAATGCGGGCTCGGCTCCGTCTAAGGCGCCCGGTGTGCGCCTTCTACCCCGCTCCCTATGCCGCCCCGCGGTGGTGCGTTCGCCTGGTTCTCCTGGTAACATTTTAGGAATTTTCTCCTCTTTTAACTATATACATATAAAATAAATATTGAATCCCCTTGAACTCTCTGTGAATGCTTAGCACCAACAACAGCACTCCGATTTTTGATAACCTTACACGGGATTTATGTTTACACCCGTTTCACAGATGAGGGTAAATTTTCCCGCCAGGCACGGTGGCTTAGCCAAGTAAACTCAGGGGTGGAGGTAGAATTTGCAACCAGGTCGGTCTGACTTCGGTCTTCCCTCCTTTCCTTCCTCTGAGGCTCCCTAGCCCCAACCTGCCTTTTTTCTTTTCCTTCCCTGTGTTACTAAAGGAAGCAGTATCGGGCATATGGGGATGTCTGCAGGGGGCCTGTTGGGGGTGCGCTTTGCGCCCCAAGGATGCTTGGTGACTCCTGGTGGCCTCAGTACTTCCTGTTAGTGGGGGACACGGACAACTCTGCTATGCTCCTACCTGACTGAGTTGGTTTAGGTTCCATGGGTATAAGCCTTATACTATAAGGGATCCTGGAGAGGCTTTTGTAGGTTGCTCAACGCTCCTACCTGGCTGAGTTGGTTCAGATTCCATGGGTATAAGGGATCCTGGAGAGGCTTTTGTAGGTTGCTCAAGTTCAAGGAGAATGTATCTGGGAAGTTGGGAAGGATGTCCAGGTGCCTGGAGTAGGGAGATGGAGAAGGTAACAGTGGACGCAAGGGGCATATTTCCCCCCAGTGCCTGGGAAACCCTGTCTTTGAAGGAAAGGAACCGAATGTGTCCGGTTACTGGGGCGGGCTGCCGGGTCATGTGGGTGTGTATGTGTGTGTATCATTACTCACGGCCATTCCCTCCCCTTCCAAGTGTACACAGTGTGCTGGGGTGTTTGATCAGCTGTTGGAGGTTTGGGGCCGGGGCTTGCACTCCCCGTGGGAGCATTTTTAGCGGCAGGAACAGAAACCAGACCGGGAGGGGGAGTTATCTATAGGTTTGCAGTTGTGGTGTGACTTTGAGTCAAGGTGTTTCCTGGTGCGTCTGTAGGATGAAATGGCAGTGGACCTAAGCAAATGGAGGGGGGGGAACTGTGGCGCCCCGGCCACCCCACCATCCTGTGCCCTGGCTTTGGCCATGTTCCTCACTGTGCTGGTCCCCTCATGTGGGAATTGAATTGCCCCTCTCTGGACCCCGGCCTTCCCTCTGCCCATGCCTCTGCTGACAAACCTCCCTGCGGCCATTACCTGGGCATTGCATTCGGGGCCCTTAACAAACTGAAGCCAGCGCACCTTGCGGCCATCAGCCCTCCCAAGCCTTCTCTCAGTCACCTGCTCCTTTCCCTACACTCCACGGTGCTGGCCATTCCTGCTTCACACCTGCCAAGACTGCCCACAGCCACCAAGGCCTGGCCCCATGCTTCTTCCCAGTGTTCCTGGATATCCACGTGAGGCCCTGGCTTCCTTTTCTGGCCTCCCGCAGCCCTAGCCTTCGTGCAGCCTCCATACAACCCTTCTGCTGTGCTGGGTGGCTGGGTGTAGTGTCCAGTCCCAGTATCCACGTGAGGCCCTGACTTCCTTTTCTGGCCTCCCCCAGCCCTAGCCTTTGTGCAGCTTCCGTACAACCCTTCTCCTGCTGTGCTGGGTGGCTGGGTGTAGTGTCCAGTCCCATACTTAGAGACAGCCCAGTGTCTCCATAGCCCTCCTGGCCTGGCATCCAGCAACGCTCCATCAGCCTCATTCCCTGACTGTTCAGGTGGAGCGAACGTTGATGCCTAGAGCAACTCTGAGCCTGGAGGTTTGAAACGTTTAGCAGAAAATAGGCCGCTGAGCCCAGAAGGCGGTGGACTTTTCAAGCAGGCATTTGAACTATTTTGCCAGCCTGCTCCTTATTATCCAGGAGGGGGAGAGGAAAGCAAGCAGCGTGCGGCCAGATGTGAGGGCCCCGAGCGGGAGTTTGGGAGGGAGAGCAGCCCTCAGGCCTGGCCGGATGGGTCCTCATTGGCTTGGGTGCGGAGTGTTGGGAGAAGGTTCTGGCTTCACAGAGAAGCCAGGGATGGACACGATCTGCCTCCCCTTCCCGAGAAGGCGGTCTTGGGGTGAGCTACCAGGTGGACAGGATGGAGACGGGAACTGGTTTCTGATGGAGTCAGCAACTCATGGCATTTGCAGCCGGGAAGGGCCTGGATGCTGCACAGTCCCCATGGGCTCCTTGGCAGAGAGAAAGTTGTATAGTCTTGGGGTGAGCTACCACGTGGACAGGAACTCATGGCATTTGCAGCTGGGAAGGGCCTGGATGCTGAACAGTCCCCATGGGCTCCTTGGCAGAGAGAAAGTTGTATCTCAGGGCAAGGAGTGAGTCGTCTGTGCGATTCTAGAACACTCTACATGTCTGTGGCTAAGGCAGCACTGTGCCCCATCACACTGCTCGATAGTCTGCACTGAGACCTTCCCCCTTTGGTTCTCTGCAGGCTCAGTCCACAGGCTCCCAAAGGCCTGCCGCACTGGCTGGGCATCCCTCTCACGTGCCCACCCCTGCCCAGCTTCTTAGCAAGCAGTTGCCACTCCTGGCCATTCCGCCCTGTCACCCTGAGGCTATCTCACCTGCACCCATAGCCCTTCCACCCACGGAAACTTCTCCACCTGCCAGCGCTTCTGCCCGCCCTGAGTCCCTACTTTGTCTCTGAACCACAGCCCTCGTCTTCTGCCACCAGCCTTGTCCCTGCTCCCGCCATCGCCCCTCTGCTTAGCACGTGGGCAAGCTGGCTCTTCACGACCAGGGCCTGGCCTCCCTCCTGAGTCCCTGTCTTGGTTCTGCCCGCGGTTCCCGCCCTTCTGGACTTGTAGGGGTTCTCCAGAGTGGCCTGTGGCCTCAGGCCTGCGTGTTCTGCCCTCTCTGACCCTCTGCCTGGAGTCCCCTTCGCCACCAAGACCGCATTGCCAGCTCCTTGCTGTTTGCCCTCCTGCAGCGCCTCCTGCGAGAAGCCACCCCTGCCAGGGCCCACTAGTGCTCCCAGAGCACACTGGAGTTTTTTTAAAAAATATATTTTTATTGATTTCAGGGAGGGAGGGAGAGGGAGAGAGAGAAACATCAATGATGAGAGAGAATCGTGGACTGGCTGCCTCCTGCACGTCGCCCCTCTGCTTAGCACGTGGGCAAGCTGGCTCTTCACGACCAGGGCCTGGCCCCCCTCCTGAGTCCCTGTCTTGGTTCTGCCCGCGATTCCAGCCCTTCTGGACTTCTACAGGTTCTCCAGAGTGGCCTGTGGCCTCAGGCCTGCGTGTTCTGCCCACTCCGACCCTCTGCCTGGAGTCCCCTTCGCCACCAAGACCACATTGCCAGCTCCTTGCTGTTTGCCCTCCTGCAGCACCTCCTGCGAGAAGCCACCCCTGCCAGGGTCCACCAGGGCTCCCAGAGCACACGAGTTTTTTAAAAAAATATATTTTTATTGATTTCAGGGAGGGAGGGAGAGGGAGAGAGAGAAACATCAATGATGAGAGAGAATCGTGGACTGGCTGCCTCCTGCACGCCCCCACTGGGGTTCAAACCCCGGGCATGTGCCCTTGACTGGAATTGAACCTGGGACCCTTCAGTCCACAGGCTGATGCTCTATCCACCGAGCCAAACCAGCTAGGGCTGCACACTGGAGTTTTGAATTTCCCATGTGAGTCAAGAGTGTCCCTAACATGTCTCTTTGCCACAGGAGGCTGAGGACTCCCGAGAGCAGGGCTGGGCCTTCCTCGTTTGTCTCTCTAACACCTACTGTGGCTCCAGGCACAAGCTGCCATCTAATAAAGATATTTTTAGCAAATGAATGTTGAACTTCTAAGTAGTTTACACTTGCTGATGCTTCTCAAAATGTCCTCTCTAACTAGATGCGTGGCTGATGCCTGAAACCGGTGAGGTAGGAATTTGTTTGAATGGTGGCCCTTCCTTTTCTTAAAGATGTAGATAAGGGAGGAAGGGTGCAGTGTTTTTGTTTATAAAGTGGCAGTCCTGGCCTATTTGTCTGTTTTCCCTGAAGGAGTCACTTTGCCAGACAACAGAAAAAATGTGGATCCAAGGAAACTGTTAAAATTAGAAGCAAAGAATGTGTATTGCAGTGGGAAAAAAAATCTTTAGCCAAGCAATCCCATTCCTAAGGCACACACATTTTTCACTGTGATACAGTCTCTTTGCTTCTAAATGTATTATTAGGAGAGGACGCAAGGATGCACGGGCAATGGAATTCAGAGCAGTTGTGTTTGATGGCAAAAGGTTTAAATAGATCTAAGTTTGCAACAGTTGGGCATTGGTTAAAGAAATTATGGTAATCCTTACACTGAAATACTATATGGCTGTTAAAAATGATGGTGTTGCTATAATACTATATACTGTTAAATGGAACAGGTTATAAACCACATGTTTAGTATGAGCTCATTTAAATAAGTAATTTATGTGAATGTGCCAAAAACATCTATGTATATGTATGCATTCTACACGTGAATGTGTAGACTGTTTATGACATCTTTATTATTCATGATACATTTCTACATTGCCCGAATTTCCTTAAAATGGACATCTATTCATTATTTCTCCCCCTGTCTGTACCCTCAGCTCCCTGCTGCATCCTTGGACGTGTCCCCCTGAGGACCTGTACACCTATGAGTGGGATTTCCAGGTCCGGGGGCACACATACTTGATACGCTTGAGTCTATACTCTTTTACCCTCCCATCTGCAATGCCTGTGGGTGGAGTCTCAGGTTCTCCCATCATGTTCAACACATTAGCATTATCAGACTTGTTGTTAAATGGAACAGGTTATAAACCACATGTTTAGGATGAGATCATTT